GGCAAAAGCAGCAAATGTCCTTCCCTCTTGAGCCACCTCTCCAGTCCCCAGTCACTTCTTTCCGTATTGCGGTAAATAAGGATCAGGATAAACAAATAAGCCGAATAGATGTTTATTCAGGGAGAAATAACTTACAACCTAGACAGATGAACACCAGGAAATTCAACCCGATCCTCTCCTGTCCGAGTCACGCCAGAAAGAGAGCGCCTCCCTGGCCCCCTCCGACCTCCTTCCTCAGGTCACCTCCGCCCATAGCTCCACCCCCAATGGGCGTGGTCAGTGCTACAGAAGGACTACCTCACTACATTTCCGCCTATATGTGAACAGGTACTTCAAAGGAACCCTTAATTCTGTGTGTGACTCCATGTGCGGGAAGGCCAGCAATCGACCTCCTGTGCTGTCCCTCAGATGTCGTTCACCTTTTTGTTTGAGGTAGAATCTCTTACTGGCCTAGAGTTCACAGAGCTGGGCTGGCAGCCCAGGGGGATCCAGGGATCTGCCCGTCTCTGCTGGCCATGCTGGGATTACAAGCATGAGCCACCGTGTCTAGTTTTCACACATGGTTTCTGGAGATCGGAGTCAGGTCCTCATGCCTGCATGGCAAAGTGCTTTACCTCTCCAGACCACAGTGGATCTTGTGAGCAGCTGCCTCAGTTTGGCCGTCACAGGCTTCTACTGCATTCTGGTAAGTCTCGCTCCTGGTTTCTGTGCTATAGAGCACAGTGTCTGCTGTCCTTACAGCTGCTCCTTGCTGCAAGTTCAGCGTAAGGAAAGCAAATTTTGCTGAATTTATTCATTCTAACAAGATTCAGACACCACAGAGACGTCTATTTAAGTCACAAGAGGACAAGCATCTATGGCTCTGGTTCACTGGATGAGCCTTTATTATCAGCATTCATCCATGTTCAAGTGTGTGACCAGAGGATGACTAACCCAGAAGGTACACACACATGCTTCCCGAAACAGTAATTCTTACTGTGAAAGAAAAACTATCACTTAAACAAACAAACAACATTTAAAGGTGCCCCTTACTTTTGCAATCCCTAACTGTAAACTCAGTGACAGTGACAGAGCATTCTCCCAAGTTGGGCGCATCACTAGAGCAGTGGCTCAACCTGTGGGTTGAGACCCATTCGGGGGTTGAACAACTCTTTCACAGGGGTTATCTAAGCCCATCTGCATTTCAGATATTTGCATTATGATTCGTAACAGTAGCAAAATTACAGTTATTAATACTTTTATGGCTGGGGATCTTCACAACATGAGAAACTGTATTAGAGGGCCTCAATATTAGGAAGGTTGAGAACCACTGACTAGAGGGATACTCAACACAGAAGATGGAGCATTGAAATAAATGAATAATTTATGTAAAAGTAGTTTGGCTGCATTGTGCATCATTATACAGAGGACTGGAAAGTGGAGGCGGTGTTCTTTTTAAAGCTTGGCAAACACATTTGCCTTTTTTTTTTTTTTTTTTTTTTTTGGCTTCTTGCTGATACACTTCTCATAAGGAACACTTGGTTAAAATGAATTGTCTGTTCCAAGGCTGGACCTTCAGGGTGGTTGAGACCCATGACCCACACCTTAGGCCACCAGCATCTCCATCACCTCCATCACCTACACCTAAAGAGTGCAGATCTGTTTGCCTTTTCCTGTGTAGTGCCTGAAATCTGAGAACACCCCTGTGTGGTTTTAAAAACATCTTGAAATAGGCCATGTTAAGTGTCCATTTACTGCTGAGTAAGGTGTTCATAAGAAATCTGACAAAGCTTTCTAGCAACTTCGCAGTCTGGTGTCTTCTGCTTTCTACTCCAGAGGAACAGTTCACTGGATCCTGGACAGCTACTAAGTGACAGGCATCCTCATCCCAAAGCAACTTTATCCTTGGCTGTCTCTCATGGCCATCTTCAGAGAAGCAATGGGGGCCTCCGTGAGGATTGCTCTCACTCAGAATCCCCTCAGGGACACAAGAGCTTCCTAAAGAGTTTTTGTTGTTGCTGTTCTTAAGTTTGGGAATGAGGAGGCTTCCTGATTTGGCAAAAGCAGACCTTGGAAGTAATTTACATGCAAGGAAGTGAAATGTATCCAAGCAAATATTTCAGGGTTGACCTATGGTTACTTCCCATGTGGGAACTGAACAGTAACTCTGAGTTATGTTGTAGAATGTTATTTTAAGATGTGTTACATTTTTTAATGCTGTGGAATATTGTTTGATGATGCAAAGATGAGATGCATTCCTTTATGTTGCATTTGTTTAACTCCAAAAAGCTATGTTACTTTGCCAGTCTAAAATACCTGACTGGTCTAATAAAGAGCTAAACAAATGGCCAATAGCTGTGCAGGACAGAAAGACAGGGCCGGCAGGCAGGGAGAATAAATGGAAGGAGAAAAAGAGAAGAAGGAATAGGAGCAAGAGAACAAAGGGAAGAGGACATCAGGGGCCAGCCACCCAGCCACCCAGCCACACAGCCACCCAGCCACACAGCCACCCAGCCACACAGCAAGCCACAGAGAAAGAATGTATATAGAAACAGAAACAGACAAAAGCCCAGAGGCAAAAGGTGGATGGGATAATTTAAGAAAAGCTAGCCAGAAACAAGCCAAGCTAAGGCCGGGCACTAAGAAATAAGCCTCCATGTATGATTTATTTGGGAACTCAGCGGCACCCCCTACCCCTCACCTCCCCCCACCCAAAGAGCAAAAGAACAAAACATAAAGATCCAAAGGAGTAAAACACACACACACACACACACACACACACACACACACACACACACACACACACAAAATCCAATCAACAACATAGTTACAAAGCTGCAGCTCCCTTGTACCTGGGACCAAAGTTCCTTCTCCCCAACCTTCAGTCTTGGGTAAAGGGGAGCATGGGGCCCAAGCCTACCCCGCTTTGCTCTTGGTTAAAAAGCAGGAGGCTTTGCTCTAGTTCTCACTCCTGCCATAGTGCACTGTCTCAGCACCAGCCCCAAACAGGGCCAGATGACCCCATGGAACCCCCAGAAGCCATGAGATAAAGGAACCCTTTTCTCTTCTAAGGTGATTGTCTCAGGAGTTCATTATAGTAACAAGGAGCCCAAATAGCAATGGTCAGCAAACTTTTGTATAAAGGACATTGTAAATATTTTAGACCTTCCAAGGCCGGGAGCTACCAGGGAAACATGGGTAGTGTGGTCCTGGAAACCCTAGCTGGGGGTTACTTTGGAAAGTAAGGTTGGTCCATATAGCAGGGATCCTGTTACAGGCTGAGAGTACCTGTTTGTTTCCATTCTGCCCCACAAACTGCAGGAGGGGACCAGGCCAGCACCTTCTATAAGGAGTGGCTCTGCAGGGGAGGCAGATTTCAGTAAGTCTTACACAGTCTTGGTCTTAAAGGCAAATCCCCCCAATTCCAGACGTTTACAGATTTTTTTTACTGCACAGACTATGAGGCCTCACCATTCCTATGGCTCATCAGTGGGAGAGGGGTACAGACTAACATCTAACACACTTCCTCTTTAGCACCAAGGTTACAGATAGTTCCAGGGCATGCCCCACTGCAGGGATTCAAGGGAAATGATGTCAGCATGATGATTGCTAGAATTCCAATGACAGGTTCACCTGTGGCTGGCCTGAACCCGCCTGCTGCTGCTGACCAGCACTTCAGAAACTGGCCCACTCAAATATACAGCAATATCCATTCCAACGTACATCCTCGGCAATATGACCCGCACGTGGGCTGCTCGGCACCACACCCTCTGTCCCTCCACCTCTCCACCCGTGTTTTTCATCTAGAAGTCTCTTTGAAGAGATGAGGGATCTACACTTCTTTCATAAATCTGAAGTCTTTTAAGTGGTCAACACAGCACATCCCACATCTTTTCTCTAAAGGTAGCAGGGCTTCAGAATCACCATCCTCCTCTAGTCTCAGAGTTTTAAATAAGTAGCTGGAGGCTCTCAGAATAGCCATTTGCTACCAACTACTTCAACTTAAATGTCGTGGAGCTAGGAAATTTGTGTACCATCACCACCAAAAGCAAAACCAAAGCCTTCTAAAAACAAACTCCCATGGCTAATAATCCCCCATATTTCTAAATTAATTGACCATCATAAAAGCAAATGCATAAACGAACCCCCCACCAGCCCCACATGGGTCCTCCAGTTGTCCCTCTCAGGTTTCTGCTTAAAATGTCAAAATTTTTTTTCAACATGTGCATCATTTATTACTTGTTTTAAATCCAGGCTCTTCCATGGTATGGGCTCACAGTGGTATTGCCAATGACAATGAAACCACAGGGTGACAATGAGAACTGCCAAGCAGTGTGTGAAGTGTGACAGAAGCCATCTGAACAGTGGGGTGCACAGGCCTGCTTTTCAGAAGCTGGAGCAAGTGCCTGTAGGGAACATTCCAGTCCTCAGACCACTAAGCCAGGGGATTTTAACAATATTCTGGTTTAAAATCAAACAAAACAAATGAACATACAAACAAAAAACCCTAATTCTCCTGTAAGAGGGCAATGGGGTTTCCTAAACCCAGGGACAAGAATGGCTAATTTACAGGTGTGTACTTCGGCTGCAGCCAGACAAGGTTTCTCCACAACAGTTCTTATCATTCTCAACTCTTCAGGATTACTCCCCTGTGCCAACATTTTGTCCATTTTTGCTATGAATAACTGAATATTTAAATCGTAAAGAAAACACAGGTAGTACAGACCTGAGTAGTAAATAAAATCAACCACTCCTCCACTCTTCGAGGTTGGAGTTTTCAGAGAGGAGAGAGAAGACCTAACTCCCTTCTAGGTTCTGTCCCAAGACCACCCGGAGTCCCATCTACACTGATGGAAACTTGCCCACTGCCCTCCACTATGCAACTGCTGTGTTGAAAATGCAGCATGTCTTAAAGAAAAGCAAACACCTTACTTATTTGTGGCAGATACCATGCAGCACAAATCAGATGAATACTCTTTTCCCATTCCTCCATTTAAAGCTGTATTGAAAATGGCAATACCTCTAGACAGTAGGGTTTGTAATCATTGGGTTCCGTTTTAACAGAAAGCAAAGGGATCACAAAACCGTCTGAGCATACAGAGAAACCCTGAGGTGAAAATGGCTTTTCCTGTAGAGTCCTCCTTAGGCTGACACAGTGTCACAAGGGGCCAGGGCCCTTCTGGGAGGGTAGCCCTTCCTCTATCCACAGAGAACCAGTTCGGGGTGCCCTGTGATGGATGCGCCGCAGCCGAAGCAGGTAGAGCAGGATGGACAGCAGGACGACCAAGAAGCAGCCAGAGAACAGATAGTGGTTGTAGACAAAGGACACACCCCGCCAGTGGCCATGGCCGGCCCGGAACACCTCCTGCCGGATGTCCCTGCAGGCATGGAGACAAGCAAACAGTGAGAAGGGTGCAGGACAGGGCCTGCTGTCCCTGCTTTCCTTAACAATGAGACAGGGACACTAGGCTCAAAGGGAGCTCCCTGCCAACACTATGCTCTTAATACTAAGATGGTGACATGTGAAGACACACCTATAAGACCCCAAAATTATAATCCAATAAATGCAAGGACCAGGGTTTTGCTGTTACAAGGAACTTAATGGAATGAACACACTCACATGGAACTATGTCTAATCAGTAACAGCTACTGCACAGAATTTCTGGAGCTGACCCAACTAAAAATATCAGATAAATATAGTTTTTAATGTGGGTCAGATGAGCTAGGTTTGTGAACTTGAATGGGGAAACCTGTATGCCTATTTGACCAACCGTGGACTGGAATTTAGTATTTTCTTTGGACATGAATTGATGAAGATAATGTCACAGTCTTAAAAGTATTAACTGAGACTTTAATGCTAAGGGCAATGACTGCTGTTTTTGACCCATTATGATAGCCGATGTCTCAGCTGTCAGTCATCACCAAGCTGAAGGAATGGACATGATGGTTCTGCCGCCAGACATTACAAGTTAGTGTGTAAATAAAGCTGTCCTCCTACATCACAAATCTGTTTGCTGCAACAGTGTCTGTCATAAATGCATTTCAATACCATTTTTTCTCTGCAATCCTAGACACTGTAATAGCCATCGAAGGGCCCAAAGCCATAAGGGTCGCCATGGAACAGACCCTTTTGCAGGGGTTAGGGAACAGCTGGGTCACAGGATGGCACCAGTGTTGTGTGCTGTGGGACAGGAGTTTGAGAGAACAGGAAGCATACGGGGAAGGAAGTGGAGAAGACCCATGTTAAGTCTGGCTGGCCTCACAGCTCTGAAAACATGTCCACAAAATACAGACACCAGGAGGCACTGTGCTTAGAGATGCATCTTTTGTGATTCTCCCAAGTTCATAGCTTACCTCAAGGGCAAAAAGCGGGTCCTGTAAAGGATGGCACCCAGCGTCCACTGCACTTCCTTATCATACACCTGCAAGGCTGTCTTCAGGTTTTTGTATGTGACAGGAAAGGAGAAGCCCGTGTGGAACACCTCAAACATCCAGGCTGATTTGAAACACTGATATCTACAAAGGCCAAGCACAGGCACGAGTCAGATAGGCATTCCTGTCAGAATGCAGCAGGCAGACTGTCTCCAGCCTGCAGCAGGCTGCTCTGAGCAGGCCACCACATATGTGCTTCTGAGTGATTTATCTAGCTCAGGTTCACCCCCAACAGAACGGTTCACCTGTCAAAACTGATTAGCCCGAAACAGTGTCATTTAATCACTACTGTGAGATACCACCCTTCACACGCCTCTGTGTCCATCATTTACTGAACAAACACTGCCAATTTCCATTCCCTTTAAACACCAGTGTCTTTATGACAAAATGCAATGGCAGGGGGATTCTTCTCAGCTCTGTTATTTCCTAGTCCTAAATGTTCATTAGAGGCTTTTTAAATTAAAGTACTTATCTAAGTATGTGATTAAAAAATAGCAATAAATAATAAGACCCAGTCACTGCACTTGAGTGACTTAAACAAAAGAGAACTTTATAAACCAAATCAGAGCAGCTTCAGTTCATCAGAGGAATATCATGAGTGTTCTGGGGAGGGATGGAGTCTGGCTGAGGGGTCAGATGCAAAGGGACAACAGCTCTTGCAACTTGAGGGTCGGCAGGACATGAGCAAACAGCTACAGAGAATTCCTTTAATGAGAGCTTGTCCAATTTGGAAGAGGCCAAGGGCAGAGAAGGATAGTGGCTAAGAAAGGTTAACCGGCAAATCAGAACTTGACTGTCCACTACTTACTTAAGCCGATGGAGGTCGGCATGAGAGGCATACAGTCCTCGGTCAAAGCGCTCCCGCAAGATCGACCACTTTGTGGCACAGTAATCCTAAAAAAAATTCACCCCAAAAAAATCATCCCTGAAAGCTATTATTAAATCATATTTTCCACTTGCAACTATTTTATCATGTTCATAATCATAACAAGCACAGGAAACACACAAGCAGAGTGAATGTCGGTACAGTCTCTAAATCCCTGGCAACGAGCAAACTCGGTACTTGTTCTGTATCCTGAAATCCTGCTAGGGAAACCCTGCCCATGCAGGATGAACTGACCCCTTCAGTTCTTCCATCATCACTGCCCCGGAATAAACTCTGGCAAAGGGAAACAGCATTTGGTCTATTCAAAATGAGTCCTTGGGTCTGGGGCAGACTTTGTACTGGGTGAGGATGGTGATTAGGAGTCACATTAACTGCTCACAGCCACTGAGCACCCTGTCCTTCAGAAGGACACAGTATCTCTCCATACCTCTCTACAGGATGACCAGGCTGGGGCTTAGAAAAATGGTGTGACAGGGAGCACGGGGGAATGTGCTTGGCCTGGGGCAAGAGTCGGGAAGAGAAAAACATCAGGAATGACATGAGAGAAGGTGCACAGTGTAAGGGACTTTGGGCTGCTTGCCATGCTGAGAGGACTCTGAGCCAGTGGGAGGGGGAGTGACAGGCTAAGGTCAGTGGGATTCAGCCTGTGAAGCTGCAGAAGTCTTCAAACAGTACAGCAAGGTGACTGCAGGAGAGCTTCAGACTCAACACCCTGGACAGTATGCAGGATGAACACCACAGTGACCAGACACAGAAGACCAATTGGACAGCTCCTGGTGAGCCAGAGGCTTGGCAAGGACAATGACAGTAAAACAGGAAGCAGGGATAGGCTTGAGAAACACTCATGAGAGAGACTATCACTGATTATGGGGGTGGGCAGGTGGAAAAAGGATAGAGAGAAGCAAAGGGGTTGGGGATGTGACTTAGTGAGACAGCATTTGCCTGGCATGTACAAGGTCCTTGGTTCTATTCCCAGCAACATAAATAAAATGTTACAAGAGCCATGCCTGGAGGAAGGGGACTGGATGGCAGGTGATGCTGTCAACTAAGATGGCACAAGAGAGAAAGAAAAAGGGAAAGCTGTGGATTTGTTTGGAATTATGAAAGGGATTAAGATTAGAGACCAAATGTCAGCAGCCAGACTACTATGGTATGGATGGGAGCATCTATAACTCTATGAACTTGAAGGGTAATGTTGGCCATTGTTGGAAGACAAGGACCATCAAGGCTGATGAGGTATAACACAGGAAACTTCTGACAAAGTAGGAAAGCAAAGGGAACAAGATCATAGGAGTTTCCTGGCTGGTATGTGGGTGGGAGCCTGCTGAAAGAGTTCTGAGATGTGGCAATCAAAAGTCAACTTAAGACTCTGGCCTGTACATTCCTGGTAACCAATGTAGTTAATAGAGCTTACATTTCCTTCTATGACGATTTCCCTCCCCACAACAGAAGAGAAAGGATATCACAATGATGCACTATAACCACCTTTCCCTCCAAATATGATGCAGGTGAGACTTTCAGGTCTCTACAGCAGGAATTTTCTTAGCACATTACCTTGGCAGCTTTAGCAAATTTAGCAGCATTGTAGTCTCCCCCCATTCGCAAGACATCCTCGGTGCAATAGTAGAATTCAGAGAAACCATAGAATTCACTATTCTGGAAGTGGATTGGGGGCTGGTAGACTCCATTGAGGGAAGTATGTGTCTCATTGGTTTTGTTCATGAAAGGCTGGAGGGTCTCTCGACACAGGTCAAAGTCTCCTGTCCCCCGAAGGTACAGGGTCTTTCCATTTTGCTGGATCTCATCTTTAAGGTCCAGAGGCAAGCAGGGGTCCAGGAACGGAGCATCGGGAGTCAGGCCAGTCTGTTTACCCAGGAGCCTATGGCACAAAGATCATTTACCATGAAATGTATGCTACACTGTGCTTTGGACAAGTGGCTGCAAGCCAGTGTCCTAACGTGGGTCCACAGAACTCTGTGTGGGAACACAGAGGGTTCCAGACCAAGTTAGGAAAGAGGTCACCCTACCCACTCGAGGAGATCCACAATCACATACACTGTTATTGCTGAGTCCAAGTAACAAGCCATGACCCAACTCATTCATTTATTGTGTGTATGCACCACAACGTGTGTGGAAATCAGAGAAAAATTTTCAGAAGTTGGTTGTCTCCTTCTACATCTGGGTCTCAAGGGTTAAACTCAAGTCATCAGGCTTGAGGGGCAAGTCCCTTTAGCTACAGAACCATGTCAGGGCCTGACCAGATACTTTCAATTCCCCTCAATACAGACAGGATGTCTGCTGAGGACCCAGCAACTGTGAGGCCCACACCCCACTCTGCCACTACTACTTGACTTTAACTGCATAGAGCTGGGTACAGAGTGAAAAGAAGTAACTGGTCCTGGAAAACCAGGTTGGCTGTTTCAGAAAAACAACACACACACACATTGCTAGAAAGCTATTGTCAGACTATGCATGGGAGATTAGAAAACTGGGGGAAAGTAAATTCTAGAAGGAGGTAGTACTTAGCAAAATGTCATTATCTTGCTTTAAACAAAGGCAAACTGACAGACAGCACAGTGATGATGCAGTGTGTGCAGGAGGACATGGATGGAATCCAGGAAGACAGTAATTCATAGCTAAAGACCACTCAATGAATATGGGAGCAAAAACACAATGTGTAAAGCTTGAGACTCAGCCAGGCATTGGTGGTGCATGCCTTTAATTAAACCCAGCACTTGGGAGGCAGAGGCAGGCAGATCTCTGTGAGTTCGAGGCCAGCCTGTAGAGAGCTAGTTCTAGGACAGGCTCCAAAGCAATACAGAGAAACACTGTCTAGAAAAACAACAACGACAAAACAAAACAAAACAAAAAGGCTTGAGACTCTTCATCCAGTTTTACCATGCCCATCATCATCACCATCAATCAACTACTAACCTAGACAACAGCAGGTATTATTATTGTTGTTGTTATTAATCAACTATTGGCCTAGATGGCAGTAAGTAGTAGCTGCTTTTGCTGCACTACTGGCTCTGAAGAGCCTTGTGAAAAGAACTGTTAGCCTTATTATAACTGAGATATACCAGGCTTGACACATCCCAAAGAGATGCCCTCTAAATAACCCCTGTACTCCCACTGTGTGTGCACATTCAAGCAATCACTAAACAGAAAACAAAACTTCTGAAAATGAAAGTGGTGTTTGTGCTGGATACCGTGAACTCATGGGTCTGACTGTTAGGAGTCGGTACTGCTGGAGTCACTCTTACTCACTGATAGTCTTTTCTATTAGGTTGTACATTCCTTAGATCAGGGCTATTCATAATGCACTTGCCTGCAATCAATAAAGGTCTTGGCCTTAAAACTATGTACTCTAAAGAAATGTATTACCACTATAAGTGGCAGTGATAGGTCTGGATTTCAAAGCTTAGTTAACAACATGCTTATGATTATGAGGAATTCTGAGCAGTTTTAAGTTTGTTACTCACACTACTGTTTTGGCTGTCCTACATCTAGCTAAGGCATGCCACTGTACTACACATTATACGAAGCCATTTTCTTTTGAATTGGTAATAAAACCCAACTAGTAAAACTGAGGAGTCAAAGAAAGTGCTGAGTAAATCTATGAAAGTAAAATTCAAATTTATATTTCTATTTAAAAAATTTAAGACTATTATAAAAATAACTATAACAAAATGTTCTAGACATTATTTTAAAACAAAAAACAATCATCATGGAACTACGCTGTTGTAATTAACATTTCTCAATTAGCTTTTAAAGTAATCAGAGAATTATTTCCTACTTATGGACATGAATTTTGGGTAACCTTATACCAAGTAGCTCCAACTTGGTCTTTATTAAGTTTTAGGTCTTCATGGCTATGTTAAGATGAAATTGGTCAGGGTTGAAGATGGTTCAGCTGTTAAGAGCACTGATTGTTCTTCCAGAAGACCTAGCAGTCACATGGCAGCTCAAAACCATCTATAACTCCAGTTTCAGGGGATCTAACGCCCTCTTCTGGGCTCACACATGATGCACAAACATTCATGTAAGCAAAAACCCATACACATAAAAATGAATAAAACTTTTGAAAGAGATTAAATTGGCCAAGGATTATACTATTACTTAGCTCTAAAATCAGCACTTCTCCTTAAAAATGTTCTATCAAAACAAACCAACCAGATGCAGGAAGAGCAAGGTGTCTTACCTGGCAGATACTGCTCTTCTGCCTCCAAACCATTTCCCTGTTCTGCGGGGCATATTTCAAATAAGTAATTGCTATATAGCTAAACACGCTTTTTTAGGACAATTTTGCTATGTACCCCTGGATAGCCTGAAACCATGTAGACCAGGCTAGCCTCAAACTCACAGAGATCCACCTACCTCTGCTTCCCAAGTGGAGGAATTAATGGTTTGCGTCACCACACCCAGCTAAACTTATTTAAACTGACAGGAGTGATGCCCTACTTTGACGTATTTTTCTACACCAGGATTTCAAATAAACTCATTTTTTTTAAGTTTCACTCATAAAAATAGTGAAAGAGGTTAAGAGTAAGGAATGATCTTTACTCAACTGATAGAGGTGGAAACCTCACTATTACTCAAGACTAATTTCTCTTGGGTGGTACTGTGGCTGATTGCAGATACCTGGGCAAGCTCAGACAATGACAGAACCCTGCTGGTGCCCCCTGAGGCTCACACCTCAGAAAGCCTCAAATAAATATTCTACAAACATTGGGTACCAGAAGACGAGGACCATAGTGAAAGAGGTTAAGTGAAAGAGATCTTGAAGTAATTTTAATAGTATTACAGTATTTTTAGCCAGGCAGTGGTGGTGCAAGCCTTTAATCCCAGCACTTGGGTGGCAGAATCAGGAGGATCTCTGTGAGTTCAAGGACATCCTGGTCTATAAAGCAAGTTCCAGGACAGCCAGGGCTGTCTTGAAAACCAAAAACAGAAACCCTGTTTTGAAAAACAAAAACAGAGAAGAAGGTATAAGCTGGATTTGATGGTAGATGCCTGAAAAGGAAGGAAGGAAGGAAGGAAGGAAGGAAGGAAGGAAGGAAGGAAGGAAGGAAGGAACGATGGATACATAACTATGGAACTGTGGGAAGGGGTGGGAGGCTGGTGGGATCTCAGTCCTTCCATCACAGTGGCACCTAATAGAAGATACTTGGCCTTAATCTAGTTTTGTTGAGGAGTGAGCTAGGCCTGCAGTTGCTTGCTGTACCTGTTTTTCTGAACCGTGCTGGCGAATAGTCTGTCTTCATATCTCTGCCGAGCAGCATTACCACCAAACCCGAGAAATGTGGCCACATAGACGCGGTACACATGCTCAGTCTGATGAACATCACACCCCAGGTTGAATTCAGCTAACAAGTTTTTAGCTACTTCCTCCTGCAGGCACAAGGACAATACATTTTAGTATTTTAAAGCAACTTTAGCTCCAGTTAAAAAAGAAGGTTCTAAAAAGAGTTACATCTAAGAACAGCAGATTCTGTCTTTCTACCTCCCAAGGATGCTCTGAACGCTTTCATAATTCAGTATGCTGATTCTAACCAGGGGAAATGCAGATGCTGTACATGGGGACATCAGGGCTTTCTGAGATCAGGTTAGTACTATATTCCCTCTTCTCTGACTATTTATGTTACCCCCTGCTGAGGAAATAGATGCAAACACAGTAAAGTCCTGATACACAAAGACATCTTTATTAGGAAGGAAGGAAGGAAGGAAGGAAGGAAGGAAGGAAGGAAAAAAGAAAGAAAGGAAGGAAGGAATTAAAAAGAATGGTGTCTGCGTATTCAACATTAAGGGAGGGTTAAGTTAATGGCAGTAGCCAATAATAGTTTATAGTGGGACACACTATGAACTGTAAATAAAAGGGATAAAAATCACACAAAAGGTAAAAGCATAATAACCACATTTTGACACTAAAACAGGAATAAAAATAATGGAAAGAACTTCACCAAAACACAAAAAATGATTTTTTCCCCCACTGGTGAAGCCAGGGGGAATGTTTATTAGTCTATTTGCCCTAAGCTTTCTTTGTGAGTACCTGGAACTTTACAATGAAGGGAGAAAGCAAGAGTGGTAGTCTCTAAAGGCATGTCTGAAATGGGAAGTAAAAAACACAGGCTCAAATACTTGAATTTTCAAAGCACTTTTCCAAGGACTTGAGAAAGGCAGCAGTAATACCTCCTGAGCACACACTCGGGAACTGTCACCCATCAACCATTCAATGACTCCATAATAGAGGAACTATTGTTTGCATTTTTCAGAAGAGAATGGTTCACAGAAGTTAGAGGGCTTGCATGAGGTCACACAGCTAGGAGGAACAGGGAGATGCTGCCTGCTAGGCTTGTTCCACTCCAAGCCTGGTACATGATCCTTACTTTGGGGAAACAATGTAGGAGCCCATACTTTGTGTGGTAATTCTGGGACGCATATAGAATGGCTCTGGGTCTTCTTTGCAAGGCCTGCTGAGGACCGCAGACCCCGGCTGACAGCACTGAAGGGATGGAGGGAAGATGGAGCAAACCAGATGTGGAAGAATAGCACCAACATCAGTGTTTCCCAGAAGAACTCAAAATTATTAAAAAACAAAAATGGTTCTCCTGATTATAACTTTAAAAACCTGAAGCTACAGTAATTTTTAAAAGTGACTGAAGAGAATATATAAACAGAAGCTCATGCATGTGATTGACATATACACCAGAGAAAAACTCTAAGTTCAGAAAACAAACCAGCTAGGCTCAAATGTACAAACGTAATGGGCTTGGATGAGGCCCGCCTCATTCTCCAGCCTCCTTCCTCCTGGGTTGAGAAGATGGAACCTCAGCAAGCAGAGTAAGGATGTGTTCAGACTCAGGAAACAAAACAAAAATGGATGGAGATATGTTAAATGAAAATGGAACCAAACAGAAGGCAATTTGTACAGATAATAACCTGCTGTGAGGAGGCAAAGCTTACAGTTTTGGGGACTTCGTACGCTATCTGAGTGGACACGCCTCCCATGTCAAGAATACCGGCTGTCCTTTTCCGGACGATGGCCTCACTGCTCTCACTACCGGGGATGTTGACTTCCACAACCGCCTCATCATCTGGAGAAAGAAGTGTCCACTCAGCAGACGCCTCGGGAGGCACAATCTGCTTTGAAGACCACCCAGTGCATCCCCCCGATGAGCTCAACAGTAGTTTAGGCAGCAGCTCTGCTTGCCCAACCCCGCACACTCGGCCATCTCACAGCACTTAACTTCTTTTCTGCCCTTGAATGTAAATTATGGTTGTAACTTCCAGCCAGAACACTAGTGGAAACATGGCACTTACCTTCTTCAATATGCTCAAACCGTCCAAGGACAAAATTAATGCCGATCCAAGCATACACACCTAGACATTGCAGAGCAAAATTAAGAAAAATCAAGCTTTAAATCTAATCAATTTTGTCTGTGCATATTTCTCATTTAATTTAACCCCTGACAGCCTGGAGATAGAATCGCCCAACATCTACTGATGTTTTATCTTCTCCAAGTGGTTTTTACAAGAACTCTCAATTTTAATACTTGTATCAGGTGTATCTATTGAAAATATAAATTCTACAGGGATTCCATGCTAACTTCCCCTAATCTTTCCTATACCTTTCTCACCCATATAGCTGCCAAATCTCAGTCTATACATGTCAACATTCCCTACAGCCAATTTTTATCCGTTTTCAATGATACCTTGACTTGTGTCATTATGCAGTGGAGGTGACAAGCTAATCAGTCTTTCAAGGCAACCTCCTCTATCCTAACCTGTTGGTCTGGTCCACAATACAAAGTACAAAGTAACAGGCTGATAATTCAAGATGTTTCCAGCTTTCAACATCACCACCATCCTTCCATAGTGCCAAATGAAAACCCATGCCATCCCACAGTGGCATCTCTTCTCACCTGCAGTTAATAGTGATCATTTCTTTTAACTGGACCGCGCTTCCTACTCAGATAACTCCCCTGCTCCCTTTCCAAGGGTTGCACTTAGAAACATTCCTAGCTAGGCAGGGGAGAGAGAGAGAGACCTTTCTCTTTCACAGTCCCAGGATATTTTTCCTGTATCTTCCTTTGGGTGCCAAAAGTGACCTCTTACAATTCTGAGGGCCATCTTTGTAAGGGGCTCATTGCTGATGAGTCCAATTCTGTACTTCCCAATGCCTTTCATAGGGACACCTGCTGGAGTGGTGAGTGACACAGGAATAGATACACACTTCTGGGTCTCTGCTTCTAGCAAACCATTTCACTGGTCAACTCAAGTGGGATAATTTCTCTGAAACAGAACTAATATTTTCTCAGTTCACCAAAGGCAAGAATTCCTCCTAGCTGGAACACTTTATCAGCCAGGCACGGAACATAGACTTCCTCTATCAGTCTGTTCAAAATACAGTCCCTAAATGTGGTAAGGACGGATGAGGTATGTTTAACAGCTTTAGGGTTATATAATAAAGACTGGCCACACAGGACTCTAATTTAACATGTAAGATGTTAACATGTATTTAACATATGTAACATGTAACATATCTCAAAGCTATGGTTGCCAGTGCACTGATTTAATACAATTCACAGTGGGGAGTGGAACCTCTGAAGGAGCAGCCTCTCTCACTGTGTAAACTGAAGGTCTGGTACCAACCTTCTTGTTTTCCTGAGATGACTTCAGCATGGGAGTCAGAAAACAGGAAGTCAAAGTGCACGGGGATGTCGGTCAAGAGGTCCTCCAGGATGGCTTTCTGCTGGCTTCAAGGCAATCCCAAAATTTACATATCAAAACCATATGCTTGATTTTTTGTTTGTTTTGAAAACAACAACAACAACAACAACAACAACAACAACAAAATTGTGGCTCTGTTATATTCTACATGAAATAGTTAATTGTAAAACTAAGGTGATTGATTGAAAAGATTGCTTATCTCAGGAATGTTCTCTCCAAATGAGCAGTATGTGAATCATGTGGTTCTTGGCTCAGTGGGTGCCAGTGTCCAGCATGCACCATCCCCAGCACTGGACATGGTGGTGTAAGCCAGAGTCTCAGCACTCAGGAGGTGGAGGGAGGTAGAAGCATTAGAAATTTAAGGTCAAACTCAGCTACATATTTAGTTTGAGGCCAGCCTGGGATATGAAACTGTTATGGGATATCTGTACAATGTGTAAAGGTGTGACTGCTGTGATTGTAATAAAAAGTTGAATGGTCAATAGTGAGGCAGGAGGTACAGGTGGAATTTCCAGGGAGAGAAAGGAAGGGGAAGGGGAAACTAGGCACACAGGAAACATGGAGAGGAGACAGGGGGTGCAAGATAGAAGAGAGGTAATACCACATGATAGAATGTAAATTAATAGAAATGGATTAATTTAAGTTATAAGAGCTAGTTCGGAACAAGCCTAAGATAAAGGCCAAGTTTTCATAATTAATAAGAAGTCTCTGTGTTATTATTTGGGAGCTGGCTGGCAGGATAAAGATTTGCTATATGAGACTTTGCCACCAACCCTGGCAAAGTTAATCTTATAATTTTTATCACAGATAAGTAGATTAAAAGCTCTTTGGTGAGGTCTGTCTATGAGAATAGCTCTGACACTAGTACAGACTCAAGAAAGGATTTTCAGTGCCATGATGATGATATCAGTGAGGAGAAGAGAGCAGTGAACCCACCCCTCCCTAGGATCACCCTTCAGGCTGTGGAAGATCACCTTTCAGGAAGAACTCTCATTCCAGCCGTGCAGAGAATGTAGAGAGGTGTCTCTTTGTGTTTTGCTCGTGGTACATGTTCTGCAGCAAAGTTCAGAAGTGGAGAAATGTAATCGCTGACTTTTTCTGGAGAGGTAGCAAACTCTGAGATGCCTGCGGAAAGGGACAGTCCACTTAGAAGGAACATGGTGGAGCTGAGAGTAAATTTCCTCAGTATGCTGAATCTGGGAGAGATTCAGGCTTCACAATGTATTCTCCTAGTTTGCTTGTTCCTCTATTTCCACAATCTGCTATGGCATGAAGGATGTTACATGCCCACTTCTTCTTTCATGGATACTGACCCAACTAGTATCTACTCTGGGTCCCACACAAGAATATATTCTTGCCCTTGAGAAATGTGCGCTCTCTCAGGCAAACTCCAATGGCTGCAACACCACCAACACCGCACAGGTCTTCAGATCACAGCACCAGTCCCCAGTACTCTCTCTCTCAACCTTCAGATCAGTTCACAGTGACTGTCTAATGCGCATAGCCACTGCTTGTCCTCACAGACTCCCCAAACATGACACGTGTTCTGCAACTGTTTCTGCTGCTTGTTCTACTTCTACTCTCCTTGTTTCTTTGGACACCACCATCTGCTGCAGGCCCATTATAACCAACTACCTTCCAGGCTCCATCGATCTCTCCATCCTCTATATCAAAGATGTTCTACACCTCTTCTAACCAACCCAGACAAACTCATTTAGAGATACATAGGTACTCATACTGTTGCCTACTTTTTGTCTCCTCCCAAGTCCCTTCTTCTCACCTCAAAGCACTGAACTAACACTTCTGCAATGTAATCTACTATGGCCTTCAGACCTCTGAGTCTCCAGCAGAAAGAGCCTTTACCCAATCAACTTATGCATGTCTATTCAGCTCCTTCTTCCACAGAAGTATTACTTAGCAGAACTCCAGTGGAGACTAATTTTCCTTACTGTGTCCCTGCTGCCATCTACCTATTCATTCATCACACGAAACTGCTTACTTACCTGTCTCATCATGACTGGTCAAGAGCACATGCTATGTCTTGTTCAGTTAATAGCCCACCTAATAGTGCCTGGCAAGTGGAGGTGCCCAGGAATATCTGTTCAATGCTTATTATTAAAAGTGAGTGGGAGCTAGAGATGGCTCAACAGTTAGATAGAGGGACCCCAGGCTTGTTTCCCAGTCCCCACATGATGGCTCACAACCATCTATAACACCAGATCCAGGGGCTCCAATGCCCTTTCTGGCCTCCCTAAGTACTTGCATATATGTAGTAAACATACATACACTCAGGCACACGCACATTATAAATACATCATTAAAAAGTAAATGAGTATGTACAGCTGCCATTGAACCTACAATATTGAAACAATGGGGACCTGAGAAGTTCCACAATTTCTTACTTCACACATTAGAGAACTGTAGACTCAGAAAGATGGTATGTGAAAGGAATCAACAGAAAATGGACTAAAAGGCAAGGCTTCTGGCTCTGCACACAGAGCTATTTCAGTGGAAAACCAAATCCCAAACTAAGCACAATCTATTTTTAAAATGCTTAGAGCCTTGCTTATATTACTACGGGGAGACTCGGAGTGAAGACAGCATTGCTATAAAAGGGCACACTGATGTCGACCTGGGCAAGGACCATGCTAAGCCAGACTGAACCAAGCTAGCACACACTTCAGTGAGGCAGCGTCTCCCAGCTGATCCACACACTTCAGTGAGGCAGAACCATGCTGAGCCTGCTGTGATTGAGATCCATGCATACACCTCCATGAGGACATGAGTTTCATCCCTGGAAGCTGTCGTGTAAGGCTTGGTGAAAGGCAAAGTGTTTTACTGAGCTTTAGTTCTGAGTCTCCTGGTAAATTTTTATGTGAGGAAAATTATGCTAATCCTGGAGACATTTCTCTATTAAGCATACATATCATTTTAAGGGACAGAACAATGGAAAATTAAAAGTTACTACTTAAATACTAAAATCTTTTTTTTATGGAACCCCATGAGTGTTATTTATATTCTCAGATGGTAGGTAATGAGCTGTACAAGTTATTACTTATCAGTGTTCTATTTTAAACTTTGAACATCATGTTACACTTATCTGTATCTATGGGACATAGATCATTGAGCACAATGTGAAACGAGAAAAGGGAGAAACTAGCATATCCATCTCTTTGAACACTTACATTTCCTGTGTCTCCCTACATTTAAAAAGTTAAATTCACTGCACAGCTGTGCTTAATACTTAGTGCGCATGCACTAGTGGGAGATAAAAGCCTACTCTTTTAAAACAGATCTTATTAAGTTCTGGGCATGGAACAGTTCATTTGAAGACTGCACCAATCTTGGACAAGGTGGAGATCCTGACAAGGGTGGAGACGGCTGCTTAAATCATTTAGTAAGGAAGCCAAATCTCAATTTCACACTTCACTATCTTTAAAAACTGGCTGTATTTACAGTATTTACAGTCACTCTTTTTAAGTCCTAAGGTTAACCTTATAAATAGTCTAGAACATAAGAAATACATCTAGGCAAGTGAACCCTGGTGACCTGAGGCAGAAGGACTGGAAGCTGAAGGTCAGCCTGAGCATCTTAGTAAAATAATGTCTTAAAAAGAAAGAGTGGTGGGTATACAGCTTGGTGATAGAGCACTTGTCTAACATATGTGACTCCTAGGGTCAATACTACAACCGTAAAAGAAAAGAGAAAGGGAAAGAGGGAAGCCAGGGAAAAGAGAAAGAGGGTAGGGAAGGAAGACAGGTATCTGGGTAGTAATTTGTTAAAAGTCACTAATACATACCAATATTTAAACAAATAATATGCTAATATTTAAAGTTCAGATTGTCAAGAGTTATCAAAAATGTCTATCCTTAAGGAAGAGCTACCAGATAGGAAAAACAAACCATCTATAACAATGTCAACCAGCATGTGAGCAGACACCATGGGGCTACTGTGATGATGGCCACAGGTGATGAAAAAGACACAGGTTGTGGAGGTTTGATCAAGATGTTGGTCACATACACAAAACAGACAGAAAAGGAAATGGAAGGGAAGCAAAGGCAGCCGTTAGGCCCTGTCTTGAACTCAGAAGCAGGCTAGACGGTGTGGTGTGAGGTTGAGGAAGTGAGTGGTATTATAGGATACTGGAGCCCAGAACCTGGTCCCAGTCTCAGCCATACTTATCCCGTACCGGGTTTAATTTTCATCACCACCGGCTTTCGGTTTTTGTCCCTCATCTGTCTGATGTCCAGCAGATCATGAGGATTGCCATTGTGCCGAGGCCAGCAATAGACAAATATCCGAGACCCACTACTGCCACAGTCCACCACGATGCCATAGTTCACGTTAGGGTTGTTGGTGTCTGTAGCCTCAACGTCCGTGACTCGGGCCAAGTACCTTGTTAGAAATACACAAGTGTTGTCACTTAAACAGAGCATCACCACGTTCTATCAGAGAAGGCACACTACAGAAGCACATCAGTGACCTCCATGTTATATAATGATATAATGGAAGCATGTATTCATTCCACAGAATACTTTGCTAGACTTTGCTTTATTGTACAAAGTACAGCGTGAGGTGTCCTGTCCCTGACAGTGCTCCGTTCTTGTTACCACCTCACTCTTCCTCCAGGCCTCAGCCCTCATGTTACAAAGCCAGGGACTCGTTCCAAGTTGCTGGATCCTAAGGATGGCTTCAAAGTCCTTGTCTTTACCTCCTGGGGCCTCTGAGCCTCCCACATGCCCTCTATAGCCAGAAGAAGACCAGGCAAGGGCTGCCCACAGGGACCCGCTAATTCAGGTCCCTGCTCACCTCTCCTTAACACAGCTACAGGCTCCAGAGAGAAAACTGTTAAAGTGCAAGCATCAACTCAGAACCCAGCTTACAACAGACAGAAGGAGCTCCTGACTATGTGACTACCCCAGGGCCTTCCCTGCGGCCAGCTGCCAGGCACTTCCATGCAGTCTAAGTTATTAGCAGGTAGCCAGCACAGGGTCCAATTCCTACAGCCACAGGCTCCTTATATGCCAATCCATCCACAACACAATGGTGCCAGAGCTGACTGTCCCTGTCACTCTGATGTCGGTTTGTTGAACGTCTAACCACTAATGCAGCACTAACCCTGGGAGGCAGTCAGATCAGGAGGAAAAGAGACCTCAGAGCTACCCCGCCCCTTCCCACCATGTGAGCTGGGACACGGCCTTCAGCAGATACACACTTTACTGTCACCTAGCTCCTGGACTTCTGCGGCTTATAAGCTGCGCCATGTTCTGTTATGGCTATTGGAACACAGTCAGCCAGAAGGTATGAATTTCTTCTAGAACAAGTCTGTATCGCTTACCTTTGGAATTTCTTGTCCCTCGACAGCCACCCATACTTGCTGCGTATTATGACAACAGAAAAGTATAAGAGGGAGACAGCTGCGGCCAGGATGCTAATGACGATGATCTGGCGCAAACTGGTATTCAGAATTCGAGGACAGCCCACTGGAGAGATGCTAAAGTGCCAAGAAGCAGGAAAGAGACAGGAAATGCCAATCCTGAAATTGAAAAGAAGCAGATTTTAAAGCCGCACGCTTGGATGAGACCTGGCCTCACTTGAACATGTGTTCAGCACAAGCTCTCCCTGCTTCCTGTCTGCTGGTGCCTGCACTTACCATGCTCCAGGTTGCTGTTTGGTTATGGAGCAGGTTATTACAAAATAACATAATGAAAACGACACCCTGCTGGGTAAGGCATTCCGGCACATCCCCCTTTTCTTGGGAGTATTACAAAAATATCCTACCTTTTTCCAAAAAGAAATCCCAGTTCGTAAGTTTAGCCAGATGAACACATAAATCTACAATGAAATCCAGGGTAAGGATGAGGGCACTGAGGGGAGACTGAGGGTACAGAAACTGCACACTGCAAGCTACCCCATAAACGCCAACAGCCTAATGAAGGAAACACTGTGCATTAATGAGTCAGCTGCTTAGGAGAGGCAAGATTTTCTTAACAAGTAATTCTGAAGTAAATCTCTCCCCAATGGTCCAGTAATGGGATCTTTCAACAGTATCACCATAATGAAGTCAATAAGGGAACTCTGATTTTAGAAAGAGTCTTCTGAGACATCTTTTATAAACAGGAAAGGTTTGAATTACGGTCTGAAAAAGAGGCAAACTGGATAGCCATCAGCAGGGATCACCTTTAGGGTAAATTTCATTATTTCATACTTTCCATCTTTGTTTTAAAGAGTACTCATGGACTAAAACCCCTCACTGAAGGAGATACACTGCCAAACCACTGGAAACTCAGTTTCCCTTCATAAGACTTGTGAAGACACTCTGTCTCCCTCTTCTGTACCTCAGAGGCTCTAGACAGCTATCCTGTGCTAATAATAGAACATTCCAAGATGCCACTGTGCAGGCTTAGACTGCAGAGCTCACTTGGCTACTTCTTTCTGTGACAAGTGTCCCACTCGGCTCTGTAGCAGCAATGGTTTAAGGCTAGTATAACACAAGTTCAAACACTTCTCATGTGTGATTTAGATTTTGTTTTCTCTTAAGACCCATTTCTTCACCATCAAAACCTCACGGTTTACAGGCTATTGACCAAGCCCACCACTCACCTCCCCATACTGGAAGGCTGAGGACCAGGCAATGTTGTGGGAGTCAGCTCTTGTCATCCACAAGGACAATATCGGAGCTAGGGTCTTCATGGAGCCAGGGCCCCCCTGTTTCAGGGAGAGAAAAATTAAGAACAATGCAACCAAATAAAATGTCTATGGTGCTACCAAGTACACACTTAAACTCCAGCCATACATCATCTGACTGTGATATGTAGAGACTACTGGGTTAGAGCAGCATGCTTGTACATCAATTCCACACTGCTAGAGACATAGGTCTCAATCAAGAGATGCTAAGAGCCTGGAGCAAGCTATTACTCCAAACATCCTTGTAATCCCAGAATTTCAGGGCATGAAATAATTGTAGGACTGAGATGTTAAAAAGGATTTAGAGAGATGGGGAATAAGTAGACAACTCAACTAACTCAACTGGAAGCATGTATTCATTCCACAGAATACTTTGCTAGACTTTGCTTTATTGTACAAAGTACAGCGTGAGGTGTCCTGTCCCTGACAGTGCTCCGTTCTTGTTACCACCTCACTCTTCCTCCAGGCCTCAGCCCTCATGTTACAAAGCCAGGGACTCGTTCCAAGTTGCTGGATCCTAAGGATGGCTTCAAAGTCCTTGTCTTTACCTCCTGGGGCCTCTGAGCCTCCCACATCCTAGTCAGCTTCTCAGCTCTGGGATCCTGTTGGAGATCCTTGGCTCTGTACCAAAGCTGTCTGTTCTTGGTCCCCCAAAGTTCTGTCTAGACTCCATTCTCTCCTAACTGAATCACTCCTGCTCTGACTCCTTTCCCTCTTAATCTAATGCCTCTGGCTCAGCCTCATAACCGGAACACTTATCAGATAACTTATTCCTTCCATCCAACTCCTCTTCTGAGTCCTGTACACATTTACATTCAATCGCCATGATCTCTGTCTGGATGCTGCACAGACCATGACCCACACTTCTAAAAGCGCACTGTGTCATCCCGGCCCCTCCTCTCTCTGCCCTGATTCTCACTCCAGGCTCCTTGCATTCCCAGTATCACCGTCATCCCCAAACAACTTCCTAGAATCCTTCCCTGAACTCCTGCTTACCTAACACCTGTCCCTTTCACTTATCATGGTTCTAGGCTAGGCTTCCTCCTCTTATCTGCACTACCTTCTCCCTCAAGTTTCTAGCCAGGACTCCAGTGCTTCCTGACACCGTGGGCAGATTCTTTGTCTGAGGCAGACACACTCAGAGACCAGGTCAGGACTCCAAATCTTCCAGGGGCTCCAAGCTCTTCAAACAAATGCTGAAGCCTTTCCTATGACTCCAGCCCTACAGTCTCTGGTCAGATGCTCTGCTCTGACATCATCTGCTCTCCCCTTTGCTCTGACATCATCTGCTCTCCCCTCTGCTCTGACCTCATCTGCTCTCCCCTCTGCTCTGACATCATCTGCTCTCCTCTCTGCTCTGACCTCATCATCTGCTCTCCCCTCTGCTCTGACCTCATCATCTGCTCTCCCCTCTGCTCTGACCTCATCATCTGCTCTCCCCTCTGCTCTGACCTCATCTGCTCTCCCCTCTGCTCTGACCTCATCATCTGCTCTCCCCTCTGCTCTGACCTCATCATCTGCTCTCCCCTCTGCTCTGACCTCATCATCTGCTCTCCTCTCTGCTCTGACCTCATCATCTGCTCTCCCCTCTGCTCTGACATCATCTGCTCTCCTCTCTGCTCTGACCTCATCTGCTCTCTCCTCTGCTCTGACCTCATCATCTGCTCTCCCCTCTGCTCTGACCTCATCATCTGCTCTCTCCTCTGCTCTGACCTCATCATCTGCTCTCCCCTCTGCTCTGACCTCATCATCTGCTCTCCCCTCTGCTCTGACCTCATCTGCTCTCCCCTCTGCTCTGACCTCATCTGCTCTCCTCTCTGCTCTGACCTCATCATCTGCTCTCCCCTCTGCTCTGACCTCATCATCTGCTCTCCCCTCTGCTCTGACCTCATCATCTGCTCTCCCCTCTGCTCTGACCTCATCATCTGCTCTCCCCTCTGCTCTGACATCATCTGCTCTCCCCTCTGCTCTGACCTCATCACCTGCTCTCCCCTCTGCTCTGACCTCATCATCTGCTCTCTCCTCTGCTCTGACCTCATCATCTGCTCTCCCCTCTGCTCTGACCTCATCATCTGCTCTCCCCTCTGCTCTGACATCATCTGCTCTCCCCTCTGCTCTGACCTCATCATCTGCTCTCCCCTCTGCTCTGACCTCATCATCTGCTCTCCCCTCTGCTCTGACCTCATCATCTGCTCTCCCCTCTGCTCTGACATCATCTGCTCTCCTCTCTGCTCTGACCTCATCATCTGCTCTCCCCTCTGCTCTGACCTCATCATCTGCTCTCCCCTCTGCTCTGACCTCATCATCTGCTCTCCTCTCTTTTTCCAAGCATTCCAGCTGCATTGGCAGACCACACCAACTTCTAGCAGTCACTCACCCTGGCCTGTGGCCTCCCTGCCCTCTGCTTTGGAGCATTCCTTACAGCCTAACACCTGACCGACCTCAGATCTTTACTCAATGTCACCTTCTCAGGGATCAGTAAATAAACACATTACTTTCCACCCAGTTCTCATCCTTGGTTTTTCTCCATTAACATTTATGTTTTTGGTGTTTTTGTTTGTCTTTTTGAGATGGGGGTCTCTCTATACAGCCCTGGTCATCTTGGAACTCACTTTGTAGATCCTGAGTGCTGGTATTAACAGCATGTACCACCACACTTGGCATACGTAGCATTTACTTCTTTGCTAAGTACCCACAAGAGTGCTCACTGTGCTCAGACTGTGCTCCAAGTGCTCATGTATTACAAGCAGTTTTCCTGTCCTGGTCACAGAGACACTGTATTAGATATAAAGCTGTTGGCCTGTTATTAGCATTCCTTATTGCCTAGCTCTGTCTTAAATATTAACCCATTTCTATCAATCTAAGTGTTTCCATATGGTCTTATCTTACTGGAGAGAGGGTCTGAACCTCTTCCCTCAAGTCTCTACATCTTGAATCTCCTCTACAACATCTCCCAGAATCATCCTTGTCTCCTAGTCCTGCTTATCTTGCCTTCCTATTGGCCAACAGCACTTTATTCATTAACCAATAAGAGAAACATATTTACAGAATGACATCTCCCATCATTCATGGTTATTCAGTCTCCCAACACCCCCTCAGGTAGGGAATGCTACAGTGATGTTTTACAGATGGGGCAGAGGTGAAACTGGGATTCAAGTGTGTGAATCACACTGCTGCCCTGTCCCCTGATTCCTTCTCTAGAATGCATGCCACATGGGACCCTTAGCTTAGCTGACTGCTGCATTCAAGTCTCCAAGCTCTGGGAAAGGTCCTGACAAGGTGGCAAGGGTCAGAGTTCTGGGAAGAAAAAGGCTAAAAAACCTCTACATTAGATTTATCTTTTCAAATCAAAGAGAAACCACCATCCCCCCATGTTTCTTTCTTACTGAGGGAAAAAGCCCTAACTCCTCCGATGTGGAAGGGGCCCCCCCAAAATCTGTGTGGCTCATAAAGCAACAGCCTGCCATGTGCAGTTACTGAAGGGAACTAAATGAAACATTTCACCCAGACATGGTGGCACCGGCCGGTAACTCTGGCTACTTGGGAGACTGAGACAGGAGGGCTGCAAGTGCACCAGTGAACTCAAGAGCAGCCTGGGGAAGTTAGAAAGACCTGTTTCAGATAAAAAGTAAAAAGTAGGCTGAGGACACAGCACAGTTGTAGTGTTTGCCTAGCATGGGTGAAGCCCTGGGTTTATGCTCACTAAAACAGATAATAATGGTAATAACACTAAACATAAAAACACAAATATAAAATGTTTGAGATCTTCATCTCACTAGCCTCATTCCAAGTACTCAACAGGCACACATGGCCTCTATATGGTCTGGGGAGGCATTGAACATAGACATCACAGCAGAAAGCTCTTCAGAAAGCATCACGAACCCTACAGATCCCTACACCAAATGCAAACTGTGGATTCCTCAGCATCAGTAGAATGCCCCTCTTTGAGGTCTCTGGGTTGGGATTCCTCACTCCTAGGGCACAAAGAGAGCATGAGACTCTCTAAGGGCCTCTCTAACACAGCAGGGGGCTCTGGGATTACACTTGTGCTGAACAAGACCATCCCAGACAAGGACCAGCATCTGTTACACAACTAGTGGCTAGAAGTGATAACTATAAAGAAACACACACACACACCATATGCACTGTGCAAATAAATGTAATTAAAAATATTTTTAAAATTCATATAAGAGTAAAAAGTATTTCAATGTATAAAATTAGTCTTAATGCATTTTTATGAAATAAATCTTTTAAAGCATTTTTAATATAGTGAGAAATTCAATGCCCTAAATACTTAAATATTTTCTCCATTAACATTTATGTTTTTGGTGTTTTTGTTTGTCTTTTTGAGATGGGGTCTCAAAATATCCATTAAATCCATTAATATCCATTAAAAGGAATGGTAATAATATAAGCAAATATTGACATAATCTTAAAAGAATTAAGGCATTTCTCCAAATGAAAGCAACATCTCAAACCACAAAGGAGGGAAAATAAAATTTTAACCCTTCCATATGTTAAAACAACAACAGCAAACCCTTCTCAAACACTCATAGCTTGGGAAGATAACTTGTCCAACTTGAAACAAGAGGTAACATTTTTGAGGCTGGAGAGATGGCTCTGTGGTTAAAAGCATTGGTTGATCTTCCAGAGGACCCAGATTCAGTTCCAAGTACCCACATGGAAGTAAGTGCCTCTAATTCCAGCTCCAGGGGTCTGATGCCCAGAGTTCTGAAGGCCGGAGTCTCCAAAGGCACCTACATTCATGCACACATATCTACATGCAGACACATACACCTACACATAACTAAAAGTAAATCTTTTTTTATATAAAAAGGCAACCATTCTTTACTTATAAAACATTCACATGAAGTAATAAAAGAAGCGCACTAACACAAAAACAAGCAAGGGTACTTGAAGTTAAAATGAGAAATGATGCAACCTTAGGGGTGTTCAGACAGACAGAAGGAAAAAAAGACCTGACAACTATAAGATTTGTTGAAGTTTTAAGGGTAAGGAGT